CGGACTTCAACTCCCAGAATTCCCCAGCCAGCGAATGCTGGCTGGGGAATTCTGGGAGTTGAAGTCCGGACATCTTCAAGTTGCCAAGGTTGAGAAACACTGTCCTAAGCCATCGTGTCGGGATGCGTCTGAGTGGGCGCAGAAGCAGCCTGGGCGGGAGAGAGGGGCCCTCATGCCTAAAACGCCTGGGAAAGGGCTGGGCCCAGGCAGAGGATGCACCCAGCAGGGCCCCTGCCAGCACTCCTTTTGCACTTGTGGGGCAGTGGCTGGGAGGTGGAGGGGAGCAGCCGCGCCCTTCGCTTGGGCTTCTTCTGGGGCTTTGAAAGGGAGAAGCCGGGTCCGACTTGTAGGAGGCGGTGCTGGGAGAGCCAGTGTTCTCCAAGGACATTTCTGGGGTCGGGGAACCAGTGGGACTCGATGCCAAAGGGTCACCTTCCCTCTGAAGCCTGGTACCTGTCCATTGGCACGGGTGTGCTTTCAAATGGGTGCTGGGGAAATAACGGGAGCTCAGCCCGTTGCACGGGTCTCGAACACGGGCTGTCAGCTTTCCAGCTGGCAGGCTCTGGGTCTTTAACTGCTGAGCCGCCGTCGGGCAGGTCCTTCGCGACCTCTGAATCCCTTCCTGTCCCCCTGAGCAGTCGAAGTGCCCGTCAAGAGGATGATGGGGACCTCCGAATACCTGCTGTACGAGGAGGAGATGGAGCGGTTGGGCGAGTTGGAGCTGCAGAGGAACACGGAGCTGGAGGTGGAGCTGGGCCTCTTTGGGAGGAAGGGCGACCCCAAGCCAAAGGAAGAGGGAGCAGCGGCCAAGTGGAAGGACACCCCCAAGGTCCCTCACGACAGCACGAAGGAGCCCTTCACCGTCTTCCTCAGCAACCTCTCCTACAAAATGACCGACCCGGAGGTCAAGCTCCGAGCCCTCTTTGCCAGCTGCGGGGAAGTGGCCGAAGTCCGCTCCATCTACAGCAACAAAGGCGCCTTCCGCGGCTACTGTTACGTGGAGTTCAAGGACGAGAAGTCGGCTCTGAAGGCCTTCGAACTGGACCGGACCGTGGTGGAAGGCAGGCCCATGTTCGTCTCTCCCTGCGTCGATAAAAGCAAGAATCCGGATTTCAAGGTTGGATTTTGGATTTGGATTTTATTATATTTATATGCTGCCCTTTTCCCCCCCAAGGGGACTCAGGGCGGCTCACAATTCAAATCAGGGAAGGGGAGTACAGACAAAAAATAAAAGACGAAACATAACAATGCATAATTTAAAAACACGCAACAGTGCCCCAACTGAACTCATTGTATTTGCTGCGTTGGATTTATTA